GCCAGGTCACGATCTCGCGGTCCGTGAGTTCGAGCCCCGCATCGGGCTCTGTGCCGACAGCTCAGAGCCTGGAGCCTGTTTCCGATTCTGTGTCTCCCTCTCTCTCTGCCCCTCCCCCATTCATGCTCTGTCTCTCTCTGTCCCAAAAATAAATAAACGTTGAAAAAAAAATTTTTTTTTTAAAATAAAAAAAAAAATAAAAAAATAAAATAAAAAAAAATAGTGCTTGGGCATTAGGGTCGATCACCTGGAGGGCTTAATGAAATACTAATGGCTGAGCCCTGCTGTTGCACTTTCTGATTGAAAAGGTATAGGGTGGGGCCTGAGAATGTATATTTGCAACAAGTCCCTGCTGGTTCAGGGACTACACTTGGGAGAACCACAGTCCCAGGAACTCTGTATTTTGTGAAATAAGCAGCAGTGTACTTACTCATACTCATCTCTTGCCACTATGGGAATCATGATTATGTAGGACAGTTGCAGATAAAAAATCAGTTTATTTAACACCCTTTATGTACCAGGCACTTTGTAGGTATTTTCTCACACTTTTACTTCCACTCCTCACAAAAGCCCTGTGGGGTAGGGACTGCCCCCATTTTACAGATGAGGGAACTGAGGCAGATGACCCAAGGTGACCCAGCTAGCAATGGCAGACTTCATTCTGATATATTCAAGGAGCCTGCTCAATAAACAAAAAGAATTTGGGAAAGCCCTGTAGAAAGAAGGTGTGTTTCAACACCTCCTATACAGGTGTGAATGCTGTTGAGCAAGACCATAAGGCAGCAAGAATCATTTATCCTGGCAAATGGTTCTCCCAGGCAAGGCATTCTGGAAGGCTTAAAAGTCCCCCACAGATCCATATTTCAATGAGCTGAGAGTTCCAGGCAAGGCTAGGGAGGAAGCAGCCAGGGGCAGCTGCCAGGATCTTAGAGAACCAAAAGACCTTGATTCTTACACAAGAAGTAGGGAATTATGGCCTTCTTTGGGGGGCAGTAACTCTTGGTGGGAAAACTGCATAAATTCACATGGGGAAAGGCTCATTACAATACCCAGTGCTGGAACAGAAAAAGAGCATGGCCAAGGTAGCAGCTCCCTGGGTGCTTGCTGACGCCTCATCAGCAGGACAGTCAGCAGTGGGAAGATGTGATGTTATGAACCCTGCCAACTCCAAGCAGGAGCTGGTGAGGGACTTCCCAAATGCAAACCCCAGTGAATCTTCTAGCAGTTGGAGGAGTTGAGACTATTGGGCAAAGGAGAGGTCAGAATGTGCACCAAATGACAGAAAACAAGGCATGAGTGGCTGGGGCTAGAAGAAACAGGGTAAGAGCTGGGCTCAGGAAGATGTGAGCCTCTATCAAGGTGAAGGGTGGGACTCAGGCCTCATTCATCATCGTGGCCCTGTTCCTGAGCATAGAGCTCTGGTTGGTGAATGAGTCCCTCGGGGCCAAGAAGCAGAGCAAGCCCCATATGCTCCCTGTGGGGTCTGTCATAGTCTGAAAACCTAACTTTTGTACAGTTCCCTCCTTAGCCTTGGTGGGTTTTATTTTTCCTTACTGCTCCCAGAGGAAGCCATCTGCTTTAAAACCAAAGAAAGGTTGTTTCAGTGGTCATGGGGCTCCTTTCTGTCATCCGGTCTCTGTGGCAAAAGGAATGACAACCAGGGGTGTCTTTAATTATGGTTTTAGAGTACAAGGTCTCAAAATATGCAGTGAACTGTGGGATACACACATGGCCTTGTCCTATGAGGGACAGGTCCTCTGTCATCTGGCTTGAGGTAGATGCTGGGGCCCAAGTCCTAGCACACCAGAGCCCTTTGAGGGGTCCTGGAGAGGGTGCGGTCTTCTAGTCTGAATTTGGGGCAGGGTCCAGTTGGGGTGGCTCAGATGACATGGGGGAAAACGCAAGGGTAGAGACAGAAGGCCAGGAGCTCTTGGAGCGGTGCTTGGAGGGCGACTGACAGACGGGAGGCCTGTGGTGCCCGGCTCAGCATGGGAAAATGGTTGCGGGAACCCAGTTGTCAGATGTGGCACCCGGATTCCTCCTCGCTGATTCTGCTGAGAAGGGAAAGGAAGGGGCACCTGTAGATACTCCTTTTCAGTGGACTTCAGTGTTAAGGGACTTCCCAAATGCAAACCCCGGGGAATCTTCTAGCAGTTGGAGGAGTTGAGACTATTGGGCAAAGGAGAGGTCATTCCCGCCCATTCCCACCCATTCCCGCCCATTCCTGCCCCCACTATCTGTCTGAGGCAGAAGGGAGCAGGGCCCACTGTGGAAATGCCAGCCATTTCTCCTGCTGCCCCCTCAGCATGACAGTGGGCAGGTTCCCTTACCAGGGCGAGGTGCAGAAGGCAAGAGTGGAGCTCCCGGGCTGCGTCAGGCTGGGAGCCGCCTCTCAGAGTCTCCTGGAACACAGCAGCTGCCTCTTCAAAACGCTTTGGTCCCAGAGGGATTAGAAAGAGCAAAGCTTAGGTATCAAGGGGGTAAATGAAATTAAAACTGCCCCTTTCTCAAACTCGCCTAGGCCTCTTGTACCACTAAGACTGTGACACTGTGGTACTAGGAGCTTTCCTAGAAAATGCAGTGTAGACCCAATCCCCACCGCATCCCACCCAAATTCCTCCTTTGCTTCCAATCTCAGACCCATTACCTGCAGTCCCATCAAGGCCTTGCCCAGGCGGAAGAGGCCTCGGGGCCAGCCAGGTTGCAGAGTAAGGGCCACCTGGGCATCAGCCAGGGCCCACATTGGTTGACCCAGCCGTTCATGGCAGAAAGAGCGGTTTCCAAATAACCTGATAAAGACAAAGTGGCCAAAAGTCTGGATCCTCAACACTTTGCCTTGTCCTGACCTCCGAGCACAGAGGCTAAGCCCCTACTCACCGATGATCCCGAGGGTTGAGCTTCAAGGCCTCGGTAAAAAGAAACACAGCCTTGTGGTAGAAACCATTTTGGGCCAAGGTGGTACCCAGCTCTGGGGAGGAGAGAAGGCAGGAAGGTTCAGATGGGGCTAACCCAGAGAGGGGAGGGTGAGGAGGGGAAAAGAAGGAGAGAGATAATCTCACTTGCCAGCTCCTGGCTCTGCTGTAAGGCAGCTGCCGGTAGTCCTGGAGATGCCTAAGGATGGGGAGCAAAGTCAAGTGGGACTTGAGACCTCAGCCTCCCCAAATCTTTCTCCTTTGTTCAAACAATAAATATTGCAGTCAGCATCACCCAATTTATGTAATTTTTATGACAGTTCTGCAAGATGGTATCAGCCCTACCTTCCTGCAGAGGAAACTAGGGTCAGGGTGTCGGTGATGGAACTGGACCCCAGGTCTCTTGATTCTAGAGCCAGAGAAGTCCTTCTACTGGTCACCTCACCTCTGCCTTAGGGGTCTGCCTGGGCCTTTCTTCTATTGGAGGGCTCCCTTCCTCCTGGCCCATCTTCTCTTGGGGGCCCAGACTTTTGCCTCGGGGCTCCTGGCTCAGTCCCTTGTCTCTGCGGGCACCGGGGGGCCAATCCCCAACCTTGCGCAAAGCCAGAGACACGAAAGTGCTAGATAGATCCAGTAAGTCCTGTGAGCAGAAAGGAGAGTTAGGAGGGGATGGGGATGAAGTATGTCCTGGAGTAGGTGGAGGGATAGGTGGGAGTGGGCAGAGACCAAGAAGGGAAGGAAGGGGGCTCTCACCTCTTCCTCACCACACTGTCCCTGAGCAGGGTTCCCAGGGCTAGATGGAGGGCTCCCATCTCTATCTGGGGTGGCCTTGAGCTGGAGGGAAGGCAGACAGGGATCACCCTGAGCTGCCTTTTCAGCTCCCACCCTCCTAGCACTGAGTGCTCCTCATTCCTGCCTATAGACACTCACCTTGGGCTCCCCACCCTCCTGCTCCAAGCGTTCCTGTCGCCTGCGATCCTTTTGACGCTGCAATGATAATGACGATGATGTATTATTTGAAAATTCTATGTTTTTTTTCATTTTTAAAATATCTATTTTATTTTTGAGAGAGAGAGAGACACAGCATGAGCAGGGAAGGGGCAGAGAGAGAGGGAGACACAGAATCCGAAGCAGGCTCCAGGCTCTGAGCTATCAGCACAGAGCTGGATGCGGGGCTTGAACTCATGAACCGTGAGATCATGACCTGAGCTGAAGTCAGAGGCTTAACCCACTGAGCCACCCAAGTGCCCCTGAACCTTCTATGTAAATACACACACACACACACACACGCACGCACGCACGCACGCACGCGCGCACGCAATTTGTATCTTGAAACCAATTCTTCACGTGTACCAGAGGTTATATGACATGTACTGGGTTAAGAGCTTTGTATACACTCTCATCTAATGGCTACCTCCAGGAGGTAGGTAGGTTTTGTGTCATCCTCATTTTACAAGTGAGCAAGCAGACACGAGAGTCACCAGGCAGAGGTCTCACAGTAAGAAAGAGGCAGATTCCAACCCGGCCGGTACAGTGTGACTCCAGAACCACCACATCATAGGGCTTCCACGAGACCTTCCACCTCTGGGCTCTGAGCTCCTTGGCCCCCCTCTGGCAAGAGGGTCTACTACAGACCACCTTGGGTTCTTTCCTGTTCTCACAAAGCTTCCCTCTTTCCCTCTTCCAAATCCCTCCAGGTTCCCACTCCTTCTGCCTTCCAGCCACCTTCTTCTTGAGTCGTTTCTTCTCTGCTTTCTGTTTCAGGCGCTCCTCCTCAGCCACCAGCTCCTCAGCCAGGTGGTTGGCTTCCTGGAGAAGGAAAGGCAGGTGACGGGAAAAGAGAAAGAGAACAAGAAAACCAAAGGGAGGCCAGCAGTATGGAAGGAGCTTGAAAGGTCCAGATTAGGGGAAAATACATATATGGGAATATGGCAGTTGGAGGAGCCCTGGGGGAGGTGAAGCCCCTTGTTGACCGTCTCACCTCTTCAGTCAGCAGGAGCTTCTGGGGCATGGCCACCTCAAGTAGGCTGTCTGAGCCACCGGAGGCAGATGCAGAGGCAGAGGGGCTATGAGGGCAGGGCTCACAGGGCTCAAACCCTTGGGGAGGATACAGGAAGGACTTTCGGAGACCACAGTAAGTGCCCAGTCCCTCAGCCCCTTTGTCTCTGTCACTCTGTCCAGGTGTTTTAGCCTCATCACAGAAATGGTCCAGGAGGTAATCTGTCAGGAGGGATAAGGAAAAGGGAAAGAAAAAGGAACATGAGAGAAAGGAGTATCTGAGGGCCAGCCCTCCCCAGGGTACCAGCCTCGATCCCTGGGCCCGGCCCCTGCACGCCCCACCATGGTGCCACAGCTGCAGCCGCCTGCTGCTCCCATCCACATGGATCCGGTGCAGGCCCTGGGGATCACTCTCCACAAGCCGTCGAAGAAAATCCACTATGTCCTGGGAGGGGGAGGGGAGGGAGGCTGGTATTGGGGGGAGCTCTAGGAGAGAACGAGGGGCTTGGCTGGATTGACCCCTCCACCGTGGCCACCACAAACCAGCCACCCAGCCTGGAGAACCTTATTGGCTGACCTCTCCCCACTCAGCACCTTAAGACACACTGCTCTGGTTTTCCTGGTATCACTACTCTCCTGCTTCCCAAGGGTTCTGTGAGGCCTTTCAGTCCAGCCTTCTCCATCATACAAGATCTCCTCCCCTTGACCTGCCACCACATCAGCCACACTGAGGCCCCAGAAACGGAACCCTCCTACCTGCTCTTCCAGCCATGTCCCTTGTCAAATCCCTGAATATGAGCAACCCCATATAACCTACTCGGGAGCTACCGCATGCCTGAATGAGAGCAGCAGTTCCTGGCTGGCCTCTCCCCTGCACTTCATTTGCTTCCCCTCAAACCAAGCTCTCAGCAGTTACTTCCCTACTCAGCAACTAACTTCCAGTAATTCCCCACTGTCAATTCCCCAGGATTACTGTCCCCCCCAGTAATCCTCCCACTAGGCAGGACTGAGTCTAGCTCCTCAGCCTGAGATTCGGAGCCTTCTGCAACACTCCCTGGCTGACCTTTCCAATCTTCTCTGTAATTCTCCACTGCTTGGCTGCTTTCATCCCTCTGCTATCAGATCCCTTCCAGGATCTTCCTCCCAACTGTCCCCCGATCCTGGCTGTGAGCTTCTCATCACATCTTGTCTCACCTTCAAGGCCCAGTTCAAATTCCATCTGCCCTCAAAGCCTTCCCAGACCTCTTCATCTCCAATAATCTCTGCCTTCACTCAACAAAGCTATACTCACATGCTCTGTGTTATACAATTTAGAACCTTATTATTCACTGCTTTTTATTGCTCTCTCAATTGGCAAGAAGCATGGAACTGGAAAGAACACTGTCATGAAATGAAACTGCTTGCATCTTAGTTCTGGCTCTGCACTGCCCGGTTGTTTGATTGTGAACAAGTCATATAACCTCTCTGAACCTTGGCTTCATCATTCACAAGATGAGAGAAGACTCTTCAAGACCTGGTCCGTTATGTTCTGGGGTTCTTATGAGAATCATTTCCCCAGTTACTGTCAGCTTTAGGGGAGAACAGGAGTCATCTTGTTCCTGTGTGGCCTAATCAGGCCTAAACAGAGCACACCCCTGACTAGGTGGTGGCCCACTGACTGAGAAACTTAGAAGTTACGTGAAACTCCAATGTGCTAAACTAATGCACAGGAAGGACTTCAGATCACTGAGGTATAGTCAACTTTCTAAGCAGTTTTAGAGCCAGGGTTTCCATCAGAAGATTGTCCTGACTTCACAGCATCTTCATTTAGCACTTTTAGCAATACTTATTTTATTTTCAAACTCAATTGCCTGGTGGGTTTGTTTCAACTTCTAACTGGCCCACTCTAGCCATCTTTAAAAACAAAAAATGATTACCTTGATCTTCTATTTCTCCCCAAAGCACAGTCTATGCTACTCTCTTAATTCACATTGCTGAACACAATCTAGCAACTCAGTCCTCCATGAATCATCTCCTACCTTCTTGTCCTACCTCAACCTACAGTGGCCAGTGGTCTCCTCTGAAGTTCCTACAACACACCAAGTGTGCTCTCATCTCAGGCTTTTGTACTTGTTACTTCCTCTCCCTGGAATGCTCTTTCCCCAGTGAATGGCTCACCCCTTCAGATCTCTTCTTAAACCTTTTCCAGGAGGCCTTCTCTGACCACTTCCTTTAAAAAGAGAAGCTCTCAACTCCACTCAGCACCCCCTGTCCTTCTTGCTTTATTTTTCTTTGCACTTTTCATATTTGGCATACTATATTGTTTATTTGTTGATTGGTTGCCTCCACTAGATGCTTCTAATTCATTGAAAAAAAGGAATTTTGTCTGTTTGGTTTACTGCTGTCTTTCCAGTGCCTACAACAGTGCCTGGTATATAGCTGGTGTTCAATATGTGTGCTGAATGAGCAAAAGCAGAGAGACTGGTGAGGAGACTATTCTAATAGAGATGCAGTCAGAAGCTGGGTCTGAAGAACCTTTGTGACCCAGTGAGTTTGGACTTCGTCTTGTCAGTGATGGGAGTGGAGTGCTCAAGTGAAACAGCACTGGAGAAGATGAGTCTAGGGGTGGAATGTTTAGTTAGCAGGCCATAGGCCATAGAGAATGAGTTCTTGAACTAAGGCCGTGGCAGTGGGAGCAGGAATGGAAACGATGCGCTTGAGTCAAGAGACACTTCCAAAGTGGATTTTAGTGATTTCATGTGTGAGGTAAAGGAAAGGGAGGATTATGTACAATGATTCTCAGATTTATGCTGTAAGCAACTGGATGTCAGTTCGTGTTGCTAACCAAAATTAAGATTAGAGGAAAAGGAACCAATTTGCAAAGATGATGAGTTAACTTCTAGACTTGTTGAGTTTGAGGTTTTGGAGAGCCCCAGGAAGCAACTGGAGACACAGATTCTCAGGGCTCCTAAATCTGATCCTGTCCTTCCCTCAATAACCCTATCACCTACTTGAGGACACCCAAGCCCCTGTGCCAGACAAAGCCTTTCAAGCCTCTCTCTTCCTTCTTTCCCACTGCATTTCTTACGGTTCCAACCAAACCACTCAAGTCCCACTTCGGTGAAGTCCTCTAAACTTTTCCTTGCCTCGGCGTCTTTGCTCACACTCCTCCCTCCGTTCGTAATATCTTATCCTAAGGAACTACCACCCACTTCCCAAATCCTCAACTCAGAAACCGTTGTCAACTCAATCCCGCCCACGTCCAGCACTTATCTAGGCAGCGTGGTTCCCGGGGCCCCACGCCCTCCATTTGTCACGCGCTCCTCCAGGCTCCACGGAGCCCTCAGAGCCCAGGGCATCGCCCGGCATAGGCGGGGCTCAGCACAGCTGGTTGGAAAGAGGCGTGACCAAGATAAACCGGACGAGGAAGAGCTAGGAGTCCCTTTTACCTCTGCGCCGTAGTCTTCAGGACCGAATTCCTTGCAGAGTTTGGGGACAGCAGCGACCTCCAGCGGACAGCCAGACCGCAGAGGACAGTCTATGGTAAAGGAAAGCAACGGCGCGTCACGGGGTTCAGGTTGGATGGGCCGGAGCCCTACGCCCACCGCGTGAAGCCCAAGACCCTACTGAAAACAGACCCAAGTGGGGCTGCCCTACCCTCCTGGACCCTCTCCTGTCTTGTCACACCTGCTTACCTAGCTTTATCCGCCCCACAGTCTTCGGAATCGGCGCCATCTCTCAACAACAGTAACCCGAAAGTGAAAGGTGATCTGGTACTTGATATCCGCCGAAGGGCGGAGTAGGACAGAGTAAACTGCCATCTTTGTTACGGGCAGAAGCCTCCGATTACGGAGCGCGAGAGAGTCCAAGACGGTCCCGGCGGCTCCCGGGCGAGAAATGACGGCTCCTGGGACAGGGCGGAGTCCCGGCGGCAGCGGGCGTTGGGCTGTGCGGGGAAGTGGGACTCGTTAGGTTCGTTCCGGACTCGGCGTCCCATGGCCCAGGGGTCTCGCTCCGGTGGCTTTCTGCCTCCGCTCGCCACCGTGCCGTCGTTTTGGTCACAACCAGAAGGCGCTGTGGAAGAGCAGTGGGAGAGAAGGCAGGAGGGCGCTCTCGGCGGGGACTTTCGTGGCTGGCCGCGGCTGCCGGTTGCCGGGAGCATTCCCTGCCTGAACCCACGGCCCGGCGGAGCTCGGGGAGCGCAGCCGTGGTGGGCTGCGCCGGCGCCAGCAGACGCAGGAGAGCACCGCGAGGCGGGCGCTGCAGACTGGTGGCAGGAGCCGGCAGCCGGCCGCCCCATTCCTCCCGCGCTGCAGCGTCTCCGGGCCGTGTTGCTGCGGCTGCATCGTGAGCGGGAGCAGCTCCTTCAAGCCCGGGACTGCGCCTGCCACCTACAGACGGCCGTGCGCCTCCTGAGGATCCTGAGTCCCAGCGCGACGGCCCTTGGCCCCGGCCCCTTGCCTCAGCTGTGCCGCGACCTGCTGCTGCCTTCCCGTGGGGCTGTCCTGCGAAGCGGCCTACGGGAGACTCCGGAGCCGCTACTCCTGGCGCGTCCCGTTGGACTGGCCGCTCAGCGCCTGGATGCTGCCATCGAGATGCAGCTTCGGGCTCTGGGTCGGGAGCCTGCCAGCCCAGGCTTGTCGTCCCAACTTGCTGACGTGCTCTTGGCACTTCCCGCCTACCACCAGCTGATGGGAAAAGCCTTGAGCCAAATTCCGGGGGCAGCGCGCCCTTTCCCACCCCTCCGTGTGCTCCACCTCCTGACGGGGGAGCGGGGTTGCCAGGTGGCTGGTCAGCTAGATGAGGCTCTCAGGGGGTCGGGCTTGCGGGACCACCTCCGAAGTCGGTGCCAGGAGGAGCGGGAGCTGCTGCCCGGGCTGCTGGGGCTGCTGGGGGGTGTGAGTGATTCAGCCAGCAGTGGACTGGGGCTTGGAGGGGCTGGAGCCCTGTGGAGCCAGTACTGGACCCTGCTATGGGCAGCTTGTGCTCAGAGTCTGCACCTAAGTCTAGGACCCTGGAGGGACCACAGGGCAGCCGCACAACAACTGAGTCAGGCACTGGGTCAGGGTGAGTGATGGGCCTGGGTGGGCATTTAGGAAGACTGGGGTCTCTTTCTTCTCCCTAGCCTCCTCACTCCCCTGCCAACCAGACTCCAAAAGCAGTCCCTTTAGAATGAACACCCCCACCCCACCCCTCCTCCCCACCAGTCAGGCAATAGTATCTGGGCTTTCAAGGCAAAGTCTCATCTTCCACTCAAGTCTTGAGGCTTGGTGGAAGCCTCCCCTCTTCCCCCATCACTGAGTGGGCAGTGGTTCTGGAAAAGGGAAGCCTTCTTTTCAGGCTCCAAGTCATTTCTCCCACTAGCATCCCTGCCTCAGGAGTGTGAGAAAGAGCTGGCTTCTTTGTGTCGCAACCTATTTCATCAGTCCCTTATCTGGAATTGGGACCAAGGTGAGAAGGAAGGGGCATTGGGAGTGACACAGCCCCAGATTGCCCCTTCCTTATCAGACCATACCCCTCATCCTCAGGCTTCTGCCAGGCCTTGGGATCTGCTGGTGAAGATCAGAGCAGCCGTCCCTCATCCTCTCATACCACTGAACTTTTGCAACAGCTTTTCCCTCCTCTCTTGGATGCCCTTCAACAACCCAGGTCAGGGCTGCTCCTCTGTCAGCCTCCAGGTGAGACAAAGTACTGGGGATGGAGGAACAGAACAGTTGAAGGTATCCTCTTTATTCTTTCACTCTGTTCTGAAGCCTGCCTCCTCCCAGAGGGGTTCTATGACCCCTCAGATGTTCCATCCTCCTCTCCCCAGATCCTGCACCCCTTGCTTTAGGGCTCTGTACCCTGCAGACCACCTTGCTCTGGTTTTTGGGTAGAACTCAGCAGCATCTGGCAGCATGGGCCCCAGATTCTTTCCTGCTTCTGATCCAGAAGGACTTACCTGTGAGTAGCTGGGGAGTGGGCAGGAGAGGAGCCTGGGCTGGGCTGAAATCTCACTTCCCATTTCTGCCAAAGCCTCTATTGCATGAGGCGGCAGCTCTGTCTAGACTGGCCTCAGAAGAAAGTTTGTCCCTGGAGGTGGAGCAGCAGCTGGGCCTGGAGATCCAGAAGCTAACTGCACAGATCCAGGTGAGAAGAGCAGGGGCGCTGGCAGTGGCAGTTTAAGAGTCTGTTCTATGCCCAGCTTTGGGGTTAGGATGATGGTGGTGGTGATGGTGGTGGGACATCCCAGGGACTTGGAATCTCTAGAGTCTCTGCTGAATTTATCTTTTCTTACTCTGTTCATTTTTTGTTCTCTCTTTCTTTACCTTGTTACTATGGAAAACTTCAAACATATACAAAAATAGAGAGAAGCGTATAATGGACCCCCATATTCCTACCACTGAGGCTTTAACAGCTATCAACTCCTGGTCAATTCTGTTTCATCTGTATGTCAGGCTCTCATAACAGCCACTAATGATTACTGCCTAGATCCATCATTTCATTAAAGGGTGCAAAGTGGTGATATCCCAAGTCTATCATTTCTTCTTCATTTATTAGTTGAATTATTCCTATAAAGTGAAATTTGCCTTCATTAATTATTTGGTTACTCTGAAGTACATTTGATAGAGAAAAAGCCAGATAAATGATTGAACCTATTCTTCTATTTACTAGCTTTGATATGATGTTTCTCTTTTCTAAATATATAACTTATGTTTTTTTATTAAAGTAATACATGTCCATAGTTTAAAAAGTGAAACAAAATAGTGGTGCCTCTCGGTGGCTAAGTTGGTTGGAGCATCTGACTCTTGACTTCGGATCAGGTCATGATCTCAAGAGCGTGGAGCCTGCTTGAGATTCTCTCTCTCCCTTTGCTCCTCTCCCCACCTTGCGTGTGCACGCGCTCTCTCTCTCAAAATTAAAAGAAGTAAAAATTTAAAAAGGTGAAATAGAATATTATTTTAGAAGGGCTTTAATGAAAAAACAATAGCACTTTAACTACCCCCACCCCACCTCTGATTCCTGTTCCATAGTGGTGACCTTCATCTACTCTTGTTTGTCTTCTAGTAGTTTATTTTCTTCTAAACTTATGAATAAAATTATTATACTTCTTTTTAATTTTTCCCCATTTTGCACAGTATCTGTTCCTACTATGGAGGATGTTTCTCCGTCTTTTTGTTTTCTCTCCCTGCCCAAGTTTCTCCTCTGCTCTGAATTATTCTGCCCTGAATAGGGGCGTGGCTACAGAGTTCAGGCTTTGTCCCTCTGCTCCTCTTCTCTCTGTATTCCTTTTATTTATTTATTTTTTAAATGTTTATTTACTCTTGGGAGAGAAAGTGCGACAGAGCATGAGCAGGGGAGGAGCAGAGAGAGAGGGAGACACAGAATCTGAAGCAAGCTCCAGGCTCTGAGCTGTCAGCACAAAGCCCAGTATGGGGCTGGAACTCATGAGCTCTGAGATCATGACTTGAGCTGAAATCAGATGCTTAACTGCCCCTCTCTCTGCATTCCTGTTTGCCCACAGTGCCTTGGTGCTGTGCTTCACTTCCCCCTGCCTCAACGGTTTAGCCCTACTCTACCATCTACATCTGCCTGTTCCACCTCAATTTATTGCTGCCTCCTTCAACTCAACATACCCCAGAGCAGGCTCCTCATGAGGAAGTTGGGACAGTGATAGCCATGGGAACTAGCATGTAATTACATGTAATTACAGAAGCTCCATACAGGGTCTATGTCTCGAGCTGGTGGCTAGACAGCCTCAGAGGAGCGGCAGGGGTTACTGGAGGTGGGGGTGGGCAGTACATAGTTCCTTGGGGAAGTAGTGGGAAGGTGGCCTGACCAAAGCACAAGCTCCCTTTGTGTGTGCATGTGTGTGCATGTGCGTGTATGCATGCATTCAGGCATATACACACTTGTCCAGAGATGGATGGGGGACTGTGGAAGAGAAAGCAGGTTGGCATCAAATTGTGGAGGGCATTGGACACCAGCCCACAAAATTTGGGCTTTGTCTCATGAATGATGGAGAGCCATGGGAAGAGCAGGAGGGGAACAGTGGAGACGGTGATAGAGTCTGATCCAGCTATACTGGTCAGGTTGGGAGATGAGGAGACATAAAAAAAAGGGCCCAGCTCTTGGTGGTGGTGAGAACAGGGACAGTGTGCTTACTGTGTGAACTAACCATTGTGCAAAGGACTCTGCATGCCTTGTTCATGTGCCTGGTGATTGCACTGTTGGGTGTCTGCTCTGGGCATTCCACTGCATATGGCACTGGGATGGAAAAGAAGAATCAGACATTGTGAGTTTTCTCCCCACCCAGACTGTAATGTCCCAGACAGAAAGACTATTTCATAGTGTGACCTTGTGTTTCCTCGGAGTGTTGGGTACAGAGAGATTCCTAACAAATGGCAGTTGACAATAGGGTAGTTTCCTTGGTATAAATAAGGAGTAAGGTGTTTTGGCTTTCAGGAGAAGAGAGCAAGAATTTGGATTTAGGGGGGCGCCTGGGCGGCTTAGTCAGTTAAACATCAGATTCTGTGTCTCCCTGCTTCAGATTCTGTGTCTCCCTCTCTGTCTGCCCCTTCCCCACTCGCACTCTGTCTCTCTCTCTCTCAAAAATAAATAAACATTAAAAAAAATTGGATTTAGGATAGGCTATTGTCAGGATATATACCAGAGGCCACATGGGCTCCACTTCCCCCAATCCAGCCCCCAGGTCCCTTCCTCTCTTCAGGCTTACAAGCATCCAGTTACCTTTTCTTTACAGAGCTGTCACCACATACCCCATTTCTTGGGGTTCCTCTCCAACGGGCTGTAGGGACCTCTCTCTCTTTTTTTTTTTTTTTTTTTTTTTTTTTTTTTTTTAAGTTTATTTTCTTTGAGAGAGAGAGAGAGCAAGCAGAGCAGGGGCAGAGAGAGGGAGAGAGAAAATCCCAAGAGAAAATCCCAGGCTGTCAGCATGGAGCCTGACTCAGGGCTCAAACTCAAGAACAGTGAGATCATGACCTGAGCTGAAACCAAGAGTCGGATGCTTAACTGACTGAGCTGCCCAGGTGCCCCAAGAACCCCCCTCCCTTTTTTTCCTTTTTTTTTCCTTTTTTTTTTTTTTCTGCCCTCTCCCATTACAAAAACATAACCTATCAAAACACAGAAACCAAACCAGCCCATGGGCCTTTTTTGCTTTATGGGTTACAAAAGTAATAGAAGTAGGTGTAAAAAATATTCAGTTTAAGGACATTCCAAAAGGTCCTGATTCTCAGAAAGTTACAGTGCTTGCTCCTGGTCTGCATATAGTTCCTGCCTTCCTTTCATAGATGGTGGAAGATCATACAATTCCCCCTTTCTTTCTTCAGCCTCTGCCTGTCCGTAGATCCGCAGACCCCTCTCTCTGGCATTTGCTTTTAAACATTGGTAGTGGTGAGGGTATCTCCCCCTTTTTCCTATTAATGTTCCTATAGAGTAAAATTAACCTGGAGGACTTCCAGACTCTGAACCAAGCTGAGAAGAGCAGGGTAATCCTATGACAATTGTCTATCATCTTTTCTGGGTCCAGGCCTTTAGGAAAACCCAATAAAGCTAGGACATCTTTCCTCAGAATTCTGTTCTGGGGCTTTATGAAAGCCAGGTTAAAAACCTGAGATTCAGGGGCGCCTGGGTGGCACAGTCGGTTAAGCGTCCGACTTCAGCCAGGTCACGATCTCGCGGTCCGTGGGTTCGAGCCCCGCGTCAGGCTCTGGGCTGATGGCTCAGAGCCTGGAGCCTGTTTCCGATTCTGTGTCTCCCTCTCTCTCTGCCCCTCCCCCGTTCATGCTGTGTCTCTCTCTGTCCCAAAAATAAATAAATGTTGAAAAAAAAATTAAAAAAAACCCCTGAGATTCAAAAAAGCATCATAATTTGGCAGTTCTCCAACAGAGAAGCCCCTTTTACTTTCTCCATATCTACACAGCTCCTGCCTGAAGAGTCATTAAGTCTCTTTTTTCAAGAATGTCATAAACAAGCCACACAGGGCTTCGAACTCTACATGCCACGGGGCCGGTACTGGCGGCATCGTCTCTCTCCTGGTAACTCCTCTTCCCAGCATCCCCTTCCAGGGTTCCCAGGGGTAACAGTGTCCTGACTCCTCCAGATCCTGGCTCCACTACTCTGTCTCCATCCTTGTCCTTGCCTCCCATGTCCCCACAAATCCTAACCATCTTCCCCTAAACGTTCCCTTAGGAGCTCAACAGATCTCCATAGCCTCATATGCTGTCCTTTCTCTTCTCTCATTCCAGAACTGCCCAGCATTCCCAGTGAGTATGCTGGGTTGGTGGTTCGCACTGTACTGGAGCCTGTGCTGCAAGGATTGCAGGGATTGCCGCCCCAAGCCCAGGCCCCTGCCCTTGGCCAAGCACTGACAGCCATCCTGGGTGCCTGGCTTGACCACATCCTCAGGCACGGGATCCGGTTCAGGTGGGGAGAAAAGGAGGCAGTGGCAGAGGGCTGGATGGAACTGGAAAAAGCGAGGGGGTATAGGTGGGGCGGAGCAGTTAGAGAGGCAGTAGAGGCAGGTGGCCACATTGTACCTTGGCCTTCAGCCTGCAGGGGGCGCTGCAGCTCAGACAAGACTTTGGAGTGGTCCGGCAGTTGCTGGAGGAGGAGCAGTGGGGCCTGTCGCCAGAACTTCGACAATCTCTGCTCACACTCAACATCTTCCAGAGGCTGGATGGGGCCCTGCTGTGTCTATTCCAGCAGCCCCTGCCCAAGCCTGAAGTCCACAGGAGGCCTCCCTGTTGCTGTGAGTCACTGTTCTCCAACTCCAGGCTCTCCTTGACCTGCCCTTGCTACTTCATGTGCTCCATCCCCCATCCACATCACTGACCTCGTATAGTTGTCAAGAGTGGTGGTACCCCTCCTCCTGCCCACTGCCTGTCTTCCATTCCTGCCTTACTAGGTATATGCAATGAGGTCCAGACCATGGAATTGCCCAGCAGCAGCCTCAACAGCTTGGAGAACTTGGAGCCCCCTCTTCGGCCTGGAGCACCCCCAGCCCAGACAGCTCAGCTGCTAAGCACACTATGGGGAGGGGGACCTAGCCCAGAGGCTTACCTGGTGGGAAATCAGCAGGCCTGGCTTGCCCTGAGGCAGCACCAGCGCCCCCGTTGGCACTTGCCTTTTCTTTCATGCCTGGGGACCAGTCCCGAATCCTAAGGAACCTGGGATGCCGAGGCAAAAATTCAGAGCTCCCCATCTCTGGCTGGAAAAGCTCAGCCATTTAGAAGTGCATGTTAAAGAAGCCTACATTGGGAGCCTGAAAGAAAGGATACCTGAGAACCACAAGCTACAAAGAACCTGGACTTAGAAGCTAAGAATCCAAGATCACTCCAGTGCCTGGAGTCCAGAGTAAAGGGCCAAACCACCACAGCCTGGAACCTGGAGGTCAGCATCCTTGGGAGGCTCAGGCCTAGTTCCCCAACAGTGAAGACATCTCAGGGCTAGGCCCTAGAAGAAGGGCTATGGAGTTGGGTCCCTGGGGAAAGGGAAAGAGAAAAAGTGATAGAAAGCAGAAAGCCTAGATGCCACTTCCTCTTAAGTCCCAGGAGCCAGGCTAAACACACAATTCATCAGGAACCACAGAGGTGGAATAGGCATTTCTACATTTGGATCAGTCCCAAGGGTTGTATTACCCTATACTCCCTGTGTTGTTACTATTCAAAAAAAAAATTTTTTTTTAATGTTTATTCAGTTTTGAGAAACAGAGAGCAAGCAGGGGTGGGGCAGAAAGAGAGGGAGACACGGAATCGGAAGCAGGCTCCAGGCTCCGAGCTGTCAGCACGGGGCCTGACGTGGGGCTCGAACTCACGAACTGTGAGATCATGACCCGAGCCAAAGTCAGAAGTGCTGACCCACCCAGGGCCCCTTCTATTTTAAGTCACTGAATATTAGGCTAAAGGTCCTTCACGTTTAAACTTTGTTTACTCAGAGTTCAATGTGTTTGATCTTCAGTTACTTGAGGAGGCTTTACCTCCCTGGTAGCTGTATAATCCCTGCCATGGCAGTGTCCTCACCGAAGGGACCAGCGCTTGACATGGTGTTAACCTAGATCTGGCACAGCAACATACGGAAAGGGAAAGACCGCAAAAGACGGACTAGTTATCGCAGCCAAGTGCAAGGCTTTTGCATTATTTATTGTTTTCGCCGTGGTACAAGAGGACTATTAATGATAGGTATTTACTGACCGCTTACTTTGGGGCCCTCCATACCCTGTATCGAAACCACCTCCCCGCTGGCCTTCCTCCTCTCGGGGTGGGGAGGCCAGGGCCCCAAGCACCCGGAACGCTAGCTACTGGAGAATCAGAGACCCGCACCCTGAAGAAGCCGGGGGCAGGGAGGGGAGAGCGGCGGTAACGGACACTTCCGCCCGCACGAGGCCTTCCGGTGCGGAGGTCACCATGGCGGCGTCCTTGGCTCGGCTCGGGCTCCGGTCTGTGAAGCAGGTTCGGGTTCAATTCTGCCCCTTCGAGAAGAATGTGGAGTCGACGAGGTACTAGGAAGTGGGGACGGGAAGGGGCGCGCCTTCCTCCCGCTGGGGGTCTAGGGCGTCTAGCCCTCTCGGCCGGACCCTCAAGCTGTTTTCCCACCGCAGGACCTTCCTCCAGGCGGTCAGCAGCGAGAAGGTCCGTTCCACCAATCTCAACTGCTCGGTGATTGTGGACGTGAGGCACGACGGCTCCGAGCCCTGCGTGGACGTGCTGTTCGGTGGGCTGGGGTGGGGAGGCGGGCGGAAGGGGCGCCAGGCAGCCTGAGCGTCCTCAGTCCGGGGCTCGCCGCCCTCGCCGTGCCTGACTCGTTTGTTTCTTCCCCAGGAGACGGGCATCGCCTGATTATGCGCGGTACCCACCTCACCGCCCAGGAAATGCTCACAGCCTTCGCCTCCCACATCCAGACTAGGGCTGCGGCGGGGAGCGGGGACAAGCCAGGCGCTGGTACCGGGCGCTGACAGTGCAGAAGAGATCAACAAGCAGATTTTAGCTTGGGATTGTTAGGACACTTACCTAAGAGTTTGAGAGACTTCGTCACTCGAATCACCATCTGGAGGGCCATGGAGCGCCAAAAAGAAAAAAAAAAAAATGCGAGCCCTGTGACTACTGATCCAACCAACGTTTCTGAAACGAGACATGATTGGAGAGGGATCTGCACAAACTTGAATTTATTTCGTTTTCTTACCATCACTCCCTGCTTAACCCTTTTGAATATGGCTTTTCCCACCACTCACTCAAGGTACCTCTTGCTCTTATTAGCCAAATCCAGTGCTGTTTTTCTCGGTCCTCATAGTTCCATCTCAGTAGCATCTGCCACTTTTAATTCACTCCCTTGTGGAAGTTCTCTTCCTCATGGGTTTTTTTTTCTTTTAACCATAAAATTGTACTCTCATCCTTCATTTTCTTCTGTATGTCTGAGCATTTCATCCTGTCATAACTTGAACTCTGGGGTTAAATCCTACATTTCTGTTTGGCTCTAATCTCAACGACTGTGCTATGGTCAGGTTACCTACTACCGATTTCCTCCAAGCCCCACCAAACTCTGTGTCCAAAATAGAATTGATAATCTTACATATACATATACTTGCCTCTCCCCCTGACTTCTCCATTCCTTCATCTGCTTCATCTTCTCAGCCATCTGGGCTGGAAACCGCAGCATTATCTCTGCTTCTGCCCTCTCTCTTTCCCTGCATATCCAGTTAGTAAATTCAAAATATTCTTTTTTAAACAAAAGCTTCTGAAATGTTTTCTCCGTTCCCATTCACTTTCCTGTATCATTGTATTCTCCCACCCAATCTCCTTTTTTTCTGACCGTTTTTGCTGCTGCTTACTTTTTTCTTTCAAAGCACATCACTGTCTTTATGTCTCACTACTTGTTTCACACTGTGCCCAATGCGTTTTTCATACTAGGTTACCAACTCATTAGTATGGATCATGAAATCGATTTAGAGGGTTAAATCAGCCTTTCAAAAACAAAGTAAAATAGAATAAAAAGTATCAGAGTGCATGGCATGGAGAATGGGAAGTACTCTTTTAAGAAATTTAAGTTTTCAGCATAATCATGAATATATATATAAAACATGAAGTATGTTTATGTGTGCGTATCTGCAGGTACTTGGTTGCAGAATAGAATTGTTATCACGGGTTGTAGGAAAAGATGGTTGATGGCTACTGGTTTAGAGAACTTCAGAATTCTTAGACAATCAAGGATCTCTAGACACTGGCTGCTGTGTACTTTGCCAAATACATTTTCCATGACTTTGCTATAGCATTACTACACCGCTTCTCTGCTTGAAAGGGTGCTATCTTCAAGGGCTGTTTTTTTCCCCTCCCCTTTAAAAAAGAAACTACCAAAAACTAAACCAAAAACCTACCAGGAGGCAGTATGGTGTAGTAAAGAGCCAGAATTCCTAAGGTTGAAATCTTAGCTTTGCCCCTAAGTAGTTCTGTGACTGTGGAAAAATTACTTAGTCTCTCAGTGCCTGTTTCCTCATTAGTAAAATTGGGATAGTAGTACCTATCTTCTAGGACTGTTGAGAGGATTAAATGAGTTGCTATTGTAAGTGCCTAAAACATTACCCGGAGCATATGTGTTATCTAAGAGGCCTTATGCTATAGCCAAAAGGATACTGACAGCCTAGATTTGAGTTCCCCAGCTCAGTGGCTAGCTGGCTCTTCTGTCTGGCCAGACTTTACCTCTCTCCTCATCTGTAAAAATGGGCATGGTTCAGACATTGTTGTAAACATAGATTGAATGCTGGCACTGTGAACTTGAGGTTGGGGCTGTTTTTTCTGTGTCCCCAGCACTTTGCATAGTGCCTGATACATAGTGTGCAATTAACAGTTGTCGAGTTTACAAATATTTACCATCTACCGTGTGCAATTAGTACTGTAACTGTGATTCGTACTGGGATACAAAGATGAATAATGAAACCCAGGTATGTAATAAGTGCTACAGTAGACATGTGAATTAGATGCAATGGTAGCAAGGAAGAGAAAGACATGAGTGACCATTAGGTTTGGTCAGAAGGTGATTGTTGAAAGAGCAAAAAGTCTACCAGTGGAGGGTAGGGCCAGATACCATATTATAGCAAAATTGAAAGCGGATATATGTAGCATAAAGTACTAGCTTTATATAATGAGTTTGGATGGGAGGTGTGATAGTAGCTAGAGTAGCATAATGATGTCGAGTAGGGTGTTTTAAAGGATGATAGGGATTTGTACTTTATGAAATTACCTTTTAAAAAGTTTTTTTAGTGTTTGAAAAAGAGAGACATAGAATCGGAAGCAGGCTCCAAGCTCTGAGCTGTCAGCACAGAGCATGATGCAGGGCTCAAACCCAGGAACCCTGAGATCATGACCTGAGCAGATGTCAGGAGCTTAACTGACTGAGCTACCCAGGTGCCCCTATGAAAACACCTTTTATGCTAAGGTGCAAATGTTGCCTCCTTCCTACAGCCTTTCCTGACCTGAATATAAGCTATCCTTCTAAGCTGCTTCACTTCCTGGTTTGTAGAAAAGTGGGGGAAATGCATTCTCGAAGTGCATGCACCACCATTCTGGTCCTATTAGGGTTCATCTAGATAAGGAATCCTGGACTGAGTGGATATCTGATTTGTCTAAAGTTACAGGTCGCTTGAAGACTGCTGGAACAGGGCCCCTGGATGCCTCAGTTGGATAAGTGTCCCACTCCGGCTCTGGTCATGATCTCACAGTTCTGGAGTTCAAGCCCCACATCCAGCTCTGTGCTGACAGCTCAGAGCCTGGCACCTGCTTCTGATTCTGTGTCTCCCTCTCTCTCTGCCCCTTTGTCTCTCATGCTCTCTCTCTCTCAAAAGTAAACAAACATTAAAAAAAAAAAAAAAAGATTTCACGCTTCCTTTTGGGTCCACT